CAAAGCTGCGGCGGCAGATTGCGCGTGCTGGAAAGGGCTTGACTGTATTACCGGGAGAGAGAGAGAGAGAGATCATAAGCACGGCTCTTGCTTTTTTCTTGCAAGGGAGAGAGTGATTCCTGCCTCCCACTGTCATCATCATCTTCTTTTGGGTTAGTGAATCAATTAAACTTTTCATGATAGTGATATCGTTTCCCAAATTTCCCTTAAATCAGGGAAGAAATCACAAAAAAACCTTTGGACTGAGAATAAGCCTGTTCCTACGATGCCATTTTTGTTCACTGCAGTGTGAAAAGTGTGAAAAAACACACTTCTTTTTCTTCATCTTCTTGTTCCCTATTTACTGGTCTCTTTCAAAGAGGAAATTGTGAACATCAAACTTATTCTCAACTGTCCTAGTGAAAGTTTTTATTGGTATCTATTTTTATTTTTGAAATTTACCAATAGCTGCTGCATTTCCCACCCTCGGCTTATACTCGAGTCAATAAGTTTTCCCAGTTTTTTGTGGTAAAATTAGGTGCCTCGGCTTATATTTGGGTCGACTTATACTCGAGTATATACGGTACTTGTCCTATTTCAGAGATAAATGCAAACACTAATTGGGATTAGAAAGTTCTGATACTGTTGCATGTAATGAAGGTGAAAGAAAATCTAAACCAAAACTATTTATGCAGACTATATGCTAAGGTTTTAACGAGCCATTATTTACCAATTGCATATCCAAATTATGGATAAGGATATGTAATTGTGTATTTCTGGTAGGTTGATGGTGTTCATATCAGCATTCAGGAACATTGATGATGCTATCTGTTCAATCATGTCTGATTTTCAGAGATTCTATGGACTGGTTCTCTTCACATTATCCATCTTGTGTAGCTTCTTTCAATTCTTTCATGGTCTGGCTATTGGTATCTAACCACCATGTTTTTTATGACCTCGTTTCCTTTTATTGCTGACTATTCTGAGCATAACTGCTTTTCTAGTGAGTTTGATCAGATGACATGGCCAAAATAAGTAAGGCGGAATTTTATGATTCAAGTCTGGGTTTTTATAGTCCAAATACTGGCTTGTTTGTCACCTTTCTGTTTGATAAATTCAGTTTGTATTTGAAAGGTATAACGTCAAAACTTGTCAATTATGAGTTTAATGCATATCTGTGGAGATTTGCTCCAATATGAAGGAATAACATAAAGGTCTTTAATGGTTACCAGATAGAAAACAGCAATTTGTAATGTGTCTTTTAATATCTTGTTCTCCCCTCCAGGTCTGTGCCCCTCCAGGCCCAAGCATATATCATAGTAGTTGGAAGTCAAAATTTGCATTAACCGAAAGCTACAGGCAAAAATGATAAAATGATCAGTGCAGCATGAAATGAAAGGTAAGTGCATTTTGTTCATCAAATTGTGTGTGGCCTGCTTTTTTTTGATTTGACAGATTTATCTATCCCAGAATGCTAGAGAAATTTGCTGATGTGTCAAGCTTTTATGCTTTATATTTGAAAAATTCTAGAAAACTTATGAAGTGCTGGATAATTGGATGAAAGTTTTTCCTATGTTCAAAGAAAGAAAAGTGGGAAAATGTCATAATGGTCATTCTTCCATTGTTACGTGGGCAGATTCTAGAGCAGATCTGAAAGAGATATCCTGTAAACATTTTAAAAACATTGCAGTAATTATCAAATCATAATGGGCTTTTCACAAAATAAATTTTGTCAGACTAATCCTTCATTTTTTTCAATTGGGTAATAGTAATTTGGAAAATCAATGGACAAAATATCCCTTGATTTCAGTGAAGTGTTAAGTGGGGTACCCCATGTGATTCTGCTTTAGCAAGCTAATGTATTGTTTGGGCTGGATATCATGAGAAATAAATGGATACATAGCTGGTTTGAAAATAAGCAGTACTTATTAGTAATTCCTCATCAAGTTGGGAGTGAGGTATAAAATGAGGTGACTTGAATAAGGAAGCAGAGAGAATGCCTATCAAATTTCCAGGTGAAAATTAGGATAAATTAGATCAGGATAAATTAGATCAGGGCTGTCAAACTCGTGGCCCATGGGCCAGATGCGTCATATGCTGGCCACACTCACGCCCGGTTTAGCGAAGGGGAAAAGAGTTGCAATGCATCATGTGATGCATCGCATCATGTGACGATGTGAGTTTGATACCCCTGGATTAGGTGGAAAGCAAGTTCCCTCCTCTCCATTAAAAACAATCTTAATAGGTTAAAGAATTGAGTGAAAATAACAATTATGTATTCCAGAAGAATAAACCCAATTATATGTTCTGTGAATACATTCGTCTGTATCAGCAGTCCCCAATCTTTACAGCTTGATGGACCTGTAGAGGTGGCGGCAATGGGGTGGAGGATTATTTCATGTATGCACTGTTTTCATGAATGCAGCTTCGCACGTGCATGCAGTCACAACTTCCACGGCCTTATTCCCAACAGGCTGCAGCTTGGCATTGGGCCATGGATGAGGTGTTGGAGAACCTTGCTCTATATGAATGTCTCCTCCTTTAGAAGTTAATCTTAGAATATCTTCATCAGGACTTTTCTATAATTTAAGAACATTCTACATTCACAGAGAAATTGTAATGGAATTGGAAGCAAACAAATGTCCCTATCATCCAAAAGGGAGGAGAAGTCAAGAATGATCCATCACTAAAGATAAAATCTTCTTCAAGGTAATCTTGCTTCCTGGTAAAATTATGGACTGGTAGATTTCTTGGCATGATGTGGAAGTTGTTTGCCAATAGCTTCTTTCAGCCCATTTTTAAAACATTCCAGTCTAATTTGGACCTCTTATATTATCAGTAGTTTGAAGATGTGCTGATATTTATTTATTTTATTATATTTTTTGCTACCCATCTCATCACAAGATAACTCTGGATGGATTACGTTAAAAGCAGTAAACCATAGTATGCTTATTATTATTAAAATTATTATTAAAATTATAATACCCTGTTCCTCGAAAATAAGACCTATCCTGAAAATAATCCTTAGCTCGATTTTTACACATGCATCCAATATAAGCCCTACCCCCCCAAAAAATAAGCCCTAGTTAAGATCCTGCCCACTCTGTTACACCTGGTTTCATGGGGTGAGGCAAGACGCATGGGGTAAAACTCAATTCAGGGTGGGGATGGAGCGGGGTAGAGCTGCTTACCTTCAGACAGTTGCAGCCAGGCCTCATACATCCTGACACCTGCCTCACCTTGCCAGCCCACTTCTGTGGCTGCTTGCCACCACTTGCGCATGTCGCCCCCAGTCTACATTTTGCCGTCAGAGGCCTTCAGGAAAGGCTTCTGCAGCCGATAAAAAAATACCGGATTGAAGCATACAGTGCCTTCTGGCCTCTTTTTCGCCATCAGAGGCCTTCAGGAAAGGGTTCTGCAGCAGATAAAGGCTCTGGATTGACACACGCATAAAAAATATGTAGGAATGGAAAATTAGTATGTGTATTTTGGAATTGGTTCAAACTCTCATCCTTGGTTCAAAATTGGTTCAAAATAAATTCTTTTCTGCAAGCTTTGCTTACAAACTCACAATATAGGTTATATTGAAATGACTGAACATTCTTTGTTATTGGCTTATATACTACTATCATTTTCATGAAAATTTGTTTTCTGTTGTTTTTTATTCCATGGCCAGCTTTCAATTAAATACCGTTAATACCTAAAATAAGCCTCTCCTGCATCCCAAATGATAAACGGCTGGGACCTCAACTCAATTGTTATTACTGATATTATACTACTTTATATTGTACATTTAGCACAATAAATATTTTCATATGCAAATAATGCTTCTACATTGTAAAGCGCTACGGGATGGTATATAAATCTAAACGCTATTGCTATTTGCAGTAGAAATAAGATTTATTTTCCATACTCAGTTGCTTTTCATGACAATGTTTTCCAGTGATATTTATGTATCAGGAGGCAAACATAGTTCAGATTCTAGGCTTATAAATTGGTCTTGCTGTCTGTGGGAAATTAATGAGTCTTAAGAGTAAGCAGAATGTGACCATAATTAATGGCACAATACCCCAGTTGTTCATATTATCTAAAATTCATCTGCAGATTATTTTTCAATGTTAAAATGCCAAGTTTCTATGAAATGAAATATTGTTTTCAGATTCAGTATATTAATTGAGAGACAGTTTGTTTGAGACCTGGTTTGATTTAGTACAAGGGTCTTCAAACTTGGCAAGTTTAAGACTTGTGGTCTTCAACTCCCAGAATTCCTGAGCTAACATAACTGGAGGAGGAATTCTGGGAGTTGAAGGCCACAAGTCTTAAAGCTGTGAAGTTTGAAAACCCCTGATCTAATGGTTAGGGTTAGGATTGTGTTCAAGTTCTGCCTTGGCCATGAAAGGCAGCTGGCTGATCTTAGACCAGTCATTCTCTCTCAGCCTATCTCACCTCATAGGTTCGTGATGGGAAAAATAGGAGGAGGACGGTTTGTTGGAAGTGTTCACTATCTTGAGTTATTTGTAAAAATAATAAAGGTGAGATATAAATAAATAATTTTTGTATGTTTGATTCCAGGTCTTTTCCTTTTGACCCAGGAGATTCTGTTTCTTAAAGAGTTGTTATTCCTGAATGCCCATCTTGAGAAGAAAACTCTATTTCTCTAAATGGAAATGAAGACATGTTGCTTTGATTCTTTTACATCTCCTCATCATAAAAAATTACCACATGAAGCAGAATTATACGGGATGAAAGTACAATCCTTGCAAAGCAACTAAAATGAATATATGGACTCTCATGTAAACCAGGCCTTTGCTTATGGGTTTTGCCCTTTAAACATGATTGTGCATTACAATATGAGTAATTGTCAATTCTTGTTAACACTTTGATTCATTCAGTATACTTTAGTAAAACAATTCACCACAAAATCTTTGGAGAACTTAACAAATTGGTATGTTCTTGAAACAATGTCTCATAAATCTTGATGAAAAAATGTGGCAGAAGGACCATGAATGTACATGTGTTACAAAAGAAAAAAGAGAAATAGTTTGAAAGATTTTCCTTCCTTAAAAGAGCCAGTTTATAATTAGATTTTAATGGAATCTTGATGCAAGTAAATCTTGATGCAACTATGTAAAGTTGCATCAATTGAATTATGTATAATTGAATTATAAAGCTGGAAAGTGGGGATATTGATAATATGTCCCACAAAATGAAGGTTGGAGACTTAAAGGTATAGAAAGTAAGCCTTGGACAGTAGAATTTCTTGGTATCCCATTTCTTCCCTAAGGAATTCAACAATAAAAGGAACAATGACTTAATTATCCAGGCTTTTACCTGAAAGAAGGAACAATGCCAGTATAACCTTGTATGTAAAACTCCACTGCATGAACAAAAATTAGACATGCTCAGGAAGGGCTTCTTTATTATTTCTTAATAGGTCACCCAGAGTTAAGGTGGGAATTGTGTTCTAAACATGTTTTGCAGAACATTCTTTGCATCGTGTTTGTTTCTACTAGACTATTTCAGGCTGGTTTAAAAGCTGCTTTTTGCCACAATGGGTGCAAAGGCCTATGTCTTCTTCCCTTGCTGAGCCATGGAGCACCTTATTTCAGTTTTATTAAAAGGTTAATGTGGGTTTGCTAATAGTTTTAACAATATCCTCACTCTTAGTTAAAGGAAGTACATTTGTAACACAATTGTTAGTCATAGCTAAGAATGTTGAATGCTTTTGGCTGATCGTTATTTTTCAAAGTTAAAGTGGCTGCTAGAAGAACATTTGGGATGTTTGTATATTTTAAATAGTTTAATAAGGGGAATATGCCGAGCAAAGCATTTATATTTGCTTGTCATCATGTTGTGTTTAGCTTATATATGATAAAAGAGTAAACATTATTTTTGCTTTATTTGAATAAAAATGAAGTAGAGGTAGTCCTCATTTAGCAACCACAGTTGGAACTGGCATCTTGGTTATTAAGCAAAGCAGTCAGTCAATGAAACTGACTTGTTGTTGAGATCTTATTTCCGCTTTCCTTTGCTTTACAGACTTGCAAATATAAATGCAAGGATTAGTTATAAAGTTACTTTTTCATCACTATTGTAACTGGCATAATAAGAACTAAATAAGGACTACCTGTACAATTGTTTTTTTTTTAAGTGTTACAATAGAACACTTTCAGAGGGCTTAAAATCTATAGCCACAGGACAAAAATGAAATATTTAATAGTCAAAAGAGTTGTGAAATTTGGAAATTTACTCATACACAAGTTTAAATTTTAAAATAATTTGGATACCTTTTGGATTTATCAGGGCTTCAGAAGTAAAACCTATCTTAATGAAGTTGTTCTCTGAAACTCTTACTAAAAATTAGAAAGCGTGAATTTAATCAGTTTTTTTGGATGTTGCTTTAGCTATTTATACCTCAGAGATTTTTGTGGAGAAGATAATACAGTACATTGGGGGCGGGGGGGGGGAAATGTAATTTAGTTTCCCCAAATAATTAGAAAACGATCATATTGTTTAAGAAGAAAACCGATTCTTTATCTCCTTTCTCACTAAATGCCACTGTAACAATGTATCTATTTCTATTGAATAGGACTGAATTAAGAGTAAACCTAGCATTTGAGAAAACAACAACACTGCTCTCTATGCCCGGGAAATAATTTTAGTTTAGTTATCCATGTGCATCTCCTTAACAGTTCTATTCGCAGGCAATATTGCCTCATTTTTTTTTTAGTTTTACATACTCATCTGTTGTCCACCTTGGCAGGAAATCTTTCACATCTGAAAGATGAAGCAAATATGGGGCATGTGCAATAGTATAATATATACATATAAATATATTTTAATACTTGTGGACAAAATGTTACAAGTTGTTTGAGAACAACAAAATCACCAATGTCTTCCATTTTAAAATGTGTATAGTTCCATAAGCATTAGTGCTTTGTAGCAAAACTGTAGTGCCATGTTAGGATCAGTGCATGAGCCTAGTAGTACTTTTTTACAATTTCAGAGTGACAAATTAATGAAGCTGATTATGTAACTTATAGGAAACTGACATGGTTATGGTCATGGTCTAAAGATGCAGTGTCCTTTCTAGGCAATGGTAGAAGAAACTGCTGCATAGAATCAGTGAGATGTGAATTTCATAGTGATTGCATGAAAATCTTTAACCAGCCAGGTATATTTTGAGTGCACTTAACTGCATGTAAAAACCCTAATAGAAGTAATAATCTTTAACAAAACCCCTTGTGAATCATGGAATATTTTGCTATAATGAGAAAAAAAAAACTGATAGTGTAAATTTTTAAATTTTAGGGACTAGAATAAGCATATGACTAGTCTTTCCCATTCATGCTTTTTTCCAGAAAAAGTTTTGATATGTTTTTGAATCAGATTTGTTGATTGTTTTTGTGCTTGCATTAAGACAGGAATTGGTAATCTTTTACAATGTAATTGTTGCTTGTAGAAACTGAATGATAGATTGGAGCTTGCACATATCTGCCAATGTGGCAGCTATTAATCAAGAGTAGCATCTTGCAAAATTGACTAATCTAGAAACACTGTCACTGTACTGCTAATTCTGAATGCATCTAAGTTATTAGCATTGTTTATTATTAAAATATTCTTTTTGCTTACCTCATTATTTTGGTAAAGCATTTGTTGGAGTTTTCTTACTAATTAGTCACATTTATTTCTTGCATCCAAATATCTATATATTACAGTAATTAATCTTAGTAGATTTCCCCCCTCTTTTCTGAAATTACACAGTTAGGTAACTCATCTACTTTATTTTTGGTTTAAACAAGTCATGTTTTAAGTTATGAATCTAGTTCTTTGTGATCTTTATGGTTTAAATGCTACTTTTAGCTTAAAGGGGATACTGCATCTTTTTTTTAAAAAAAACTTCTCTATAAATGGCCACCTTGATGAGAGAAAAGATGTCTTTGACTTTGTATTTCTTTATTGGCAAAACATAATATGATACTTGTAATGTAACTGTAATTCTGTAAATTGCAGAATTACATTTAAAGAACTCTCTATTTTCTCATTGAAAGTGGCAAGGTGTGTTGTTTGGAGATGAATTGTAAGGACCTTGAGATCTTTTGGGGCTCTCTTCTGAACAGCAGTATAATTGAATAAAATGGGGCTGATGATTGGGAGAATTGATGGAAAAATACCTCTGAAACTGGAATGCAAAATAGCACAGTATGTGGGGGGTGGGGGAAATCCCTGATGCAAATAAAGCCATAAGATGACAATAAATAGAACTTTAGTAGCAATAACTGTTTGCATGTATTAGGACGTAACTTGCATTGGCAAGAATAGTATAGTAGAATAAATGGTATTAACCAAATAGGTTTGCTGTGCTCTGTGTTGCAGGAAGTTGAATTTCTCATTAAAAGTTGGTAAGTTCCTCTCTACCACAACACTATGTGCTTGAATGCTATAGGGTGAAGCTTAGAAAAATTTTGAGAATGATTTTATTTTTCAAAAATGATATAATTAGGAAAGAGGTTTATTGTGTATGAAACTGATGAGAACTTACACAGAATGCTTATAGATCAGGGGTCCCCAACCGCCGGTCCGCAGACCGGTACCGGGCCGCGGAACAAGCCTTACCGGGCCGCTGGTTGCTGGGCGCCGCCATCTTTTTTTGGTAAAAAAAGCAATTTTTCGTCAAAAAAGATGGTGGTGCCAGCGCTTCCGGTGAGCTTTTCCGGGTAGAAAGCCATTTCTACCCGAAAAAGCTCACCGGAAGCGCTGGCGCCGCCATTTTTTTTGACGAAAAATCACTTCCGGTGACATCACCGGAAGTGATTTTTCGTCAAAAAAAGATGGCGGCGCCCAGCTGACGCCGGAACCGGGCCGCGGCGCCCAGCTGACGCCGGAACCGGGCCGCGGCGTCGAAAAGGTTGGGGATCCCTGTTATAGATCATTGATCATCATTTCTGAAGTAACTAAGAATCCTTGAGGCTGGATTCTGTCCAGGAATATAATTTAGGAGTTTGGGGATCCAAATTTTTGAACCGAATTGTGAATTTCTTTAAAAGAAAAGTGCTTCTATAATTTAGTGCTTGTATAATTCTTGTATTCATTTTCTTTTATAAACAAATCTGATCTGGTTTCAATATATACTTTTTTAATTTTATAAAGCCACTTGTAGACTTGGAAGAAGGAGAGCAACTTTCAGTTCACTCTGTCTGGCAAACTCTTACCTTCATCATTCTAGAGAATGCAGTTTATATCTCTTTAAAGTTCAGTTGCACGAACTTTGTATGCATGTGCATACTGAAGACCAGGTAAACTATAAATCTAATATAGAAATCTGCCATAAGTAGGATTTGATTGACCAGATTCAGCTGCAAGGCTGGGACATATATTTAAAGAAAGTGGCTTTACTTTTATTTTTGTTTTACATTCTTTGGTATCATTTATCTATATGGATAAGGTGGCAGTTTTAAAATGAAAGGCATATACACGCATGCATGTTTATATACATTCTATAGAACTTTCTGTTCTACGTATTTATACTGATCAATGCAAATTAGCACAAGTTTCTAAAATATTCAGAAGTTTAATTAAACATTTAGTTCATATTTTGTGACTTTTGATCACAAAATAGATCGGAGGTATTCATTAAACTCAGTTTTCCTGGAAAATTATTTGCACTTATGGTGGTTGTCTACTTGATTATTTAAATATCCATTTGCAGAATCCTAAAGGTATCTTGTATCTATATCAGTACAATTTTCACTGCTCACATTTTTTGAGCAGCTAATTTACAAACCTTTTTCACTGTTGGCTCAGCTGGTGCTAGGCTGAATAGAACATTGCTCGTAAAAAAATTTTTACTCTCATCTGAATGCGATGACTCAGGATTGCATGAAAGACTTGAATGTGGTGCTATTCTGGAAGAACTAGTTAGACTGTTAATTGCTTGCTAAAGTGTCTAAATCTCAGAACCACAGCCTCATCCTAGAGTACATTACTGCCTTGATCTAAGTGATAAGGGACTATAGTATTACTGGAAATTCAGTACTGAAATATATATAATTCTAAATGCAGATGAGAGAAAATTCTTAGGTGGCACTTCATTGTACTTATTACTCTGCCTATTCTCTGTGTAGTTTCTCCTTTCTTTAATTGTAATATTTTTTTTGATAGCTCTTAATTTTTGACTGCAGATCAGTTTCATTGAAACCTTAATAGTACTCTTGATGAAAGACTCCATAGAGCTTGCATTTCATCCATCAATATTTTAGTACTTTTAAAAATGTTTAATCATCACTACCTACTCTCTAAATTTTATGGTGAAATCCATTTTAATATAAACTTCCCTTTGGATTTTTAGATTTTCCTTTATTTTGCACTTTGAAAAACAATAAATCAATGTAAGCACAATATTGACGCAGGTGCCAGAAAATAGTTCTCACAAACAGGCTTCTGGAATAGAGATTGCAAGTAGTTCTTTGATGGTTCAGTCAAGATCTAGAGGCTAAGCTGGTTTGAGGTTTTGCATTAGGTTTGTATGTTTGGGATGGGTTCAGGAGGAGCCCATATATATATATATAGAGAGAGAGAGAGAGAAGCAGGGAATTGAACTGTTCCAGAAATGTGGAAAAATTGTAGCTATGCATAATGCATAGATTTATACAAAGATTGCTGGAATAAATACATTGGTGTATCTCTTAATAAAGGGGGATAAAAGAACACTTATGCAAGGGTTTGTTATTGGAATCTGAAAATAATTAGAGAATGCATTTGGTTATGGGAGGGTGACTATTTCTTGCATTCTGGAGAAGAACGCTTATGTGCAGAGAGGAACTGAGTTCATTCTAGAAACATGGGAAATAAATGATAGAGGCTTTGAATCTGAGCACCTCCTAGCTGGTTTTAGATGGAATTTCCAAGTTTTCCAAGTCACAGCACAACAAATATTCCATAAAGTGTAGTATTTCTTAAGGACTGGATATTGCAATTCTTTTCCATGCAGGTGAAGAGGTTACAAAACTATCAGAATGGAATACTTGTGTGGGAAAAACCACTGGCACAAGCACATAGACTCACAAACCGTCTTTTTTTAGAGATAGTATTCTAATTATGCATGATTAAAATGTATAGTGTTATAGCTATTATCAGTAAATTGATATATGCATTTATACATTATGAAGCAATAGGAACCAATATACCAATAGCTTGAATTTACTGCTTTGATTCTCAGTTTTTTTAGACAACATGCTGCCTCTTTAGTAAAGGGGCAAAATGTACAAAGAAGGGACGAAGCATGACGCCAAAACTGTGTATTAGAAAAAGGAATCAGTAGAATGAACCCTTTTGGCCTCTTACCAAGTTCATAGCAGCTCATGAGCCTGTATAATATGAACATGGTTAATGGTAATTTGGGTTTCTTGGTTGCTGCAGTTGTACAAACAAAAAAGGTGCAGAGTTTCACAGCACAGAAAAGGGAATACATAAATCCCAAATGGGGCAATAAAAATGATCTAAGCAGTTTAGGGTTTATGACTATTTTTAAGTAGAGATAGTAAATTTAGCCAGAGCTTTTTGCAGCTAAAAAAACAATGAGTAATTAAAATGAGTAAGCTGTCCATACTTTTCAGGTATTAATTCTTTGTAAGATAGGTGTAGCTTTTCAGGTTTTTTCCCCACCACTTTGGCAGCTGGATTAAAACGAACTGGGTTCAAACCAGCAATAATGATAACTTACCTTATGAAAATTGGAGATATTTAAATATTATTCATTCAAGTTGTATTTAAATAGGGGGTAGCTTTTTTGATCTGCTAGAGCAGGGCTGTCAAATTTGTGGCCTGCGGGCCAGATGCATCACACATTGGCCACGTTCATGCCCGGTTTAGCAAAGGGGGAAAGTGATGTGTCACATGACGCTGCTGTTGATAAGACTTGATTTTGAAAAATTGGTGCAGTAGAACAGATAATAGAAATATAACAGCATAGTTGTTGCAGCAGTTTCTGAGTTGGCACATGATTTTTCTATTAAACTGTGCTAAAAAGAAATTTCGAGTTTGAATCTGGATTGTACTGGTTTGCAAAAAGGCAGTCTTCACTTATCTGAATACTACCCGTAGTGTATCTCAAAGTTTGACCTTTTTTCTAGCTATGAACATTTGTTAAGGCATAGTTATGCATTTTTGGCTTTGTAATTTTCCCAGTTATATACATTTCCAACCATACTTTTGCACAACTATTGCCAGTAACTACTGGTAGACCTATTGAAGTTGTGATTCAAACACATTTAGAAATGTATTTCTCATTTCTAAGTTTTTCCTTCCAAAGTTGACTTCTTGTCGATTGTTTGCAGGTGCTTCAATTATAAAGAGTAGGATTTAAGATTGGGCTACTAAATGGTTATACTTTTTTCAAAATAAAATGTTATTCTGGTGTTTGAAAACTGTGAAGAATTGGTAGCAAAAGAAGTCTTGAAGATAACATACAAAATGACTGGCAGATTAGTATGCCTTTTACTAACAGATAAACTCATCTGGATAAGAAAAGACGAGTATAATCTATTCCCTTTTATTCATTAAGTATCAATGTGAACAATTTGTCTATGTATATACCTAATATTTTCCAAATGGCAGCTTGCTTTTATATCTATGCATATTTGGGGAAGGGAAAGAATGTGTTAAATATATTCTTTTGACACTGTAAACAATTGCTCAACAATGAGCTTTGAAACTCTGCACCTGTGTATAATTTTTAGCAATAAAGCAGCATGAGCTGAGAATGCACTAAAATGTCTGTGTCATTTCTTTCTAGAAAGTTAAATGTACAAGATTCTCTTGTACCATTTCACTTTCCCTTCAGTATATAAGGGAATGCATTTATGTTAAAAGAATCATTGAGTTGTATGTTCTTGTATGTTTTATCTGCACAAGTACAAAAATGTTACTCCTAGTGTGTGTTAACCTGAAGTAAAAACTGAATGATTATCAAAAGCATGAATAACTATAGACTGCCTCATCTTCACAAGAGACAAGCTTCTGGATGTTCACAAAAAGCAGAAGGAAATGGCTAAGAGTTTGTTGCCAAAAATTGGATATCTAAAGATACACATTTAAAGGTAATTGTTGGAATTCTTGCATGTAATCATTACAATTAATCAGAGCTCTTATATTCTTG